TCGCCTAGCGATTTTTTTGGCCAGCAAGATTTATTCGTTTCTCTCTCAGTGTAGTTTACAAGGTCAGGTGGTCCAATCGATATGTGAACGTGGTGGAGAGTGACTCTTGGTGACACCGGTGGTCAACAATTGTCCGTCCAGATTTGCATTCATCAACGGATACAAGCGACGACTGATTGACAATCCGCATGTCATTGTGACGTTAGTCATATCGCGGCGACTCCCTTGGTTGTTGCAATCAATTCAATGGAACGTTACATTGTTCTGAATGGTGGGGATACACGAATCAATGGGAAATTATTATAGTTTTGGTTGGCGGTATTATCGGTCGTCATTAGTTTGTATTTATTGCTGGAAGATTTTGTTAATTTAAGTGTTTTGGGTGGTGACATCTTCGCTGAACTTTTAAGGGAGAATCGCACTGAAATTTCGAAAAAAATTTATGGTGCCTTTATTTATCCTGCTGATGAGTTTACTACTTCACTTTTAATGTAAAAAAATAAGAACAAATTACGGTATTATTTTTGTTATTGATTAGAAAAGAACTTTAGAGGAATCGTATTTTTAAATGTGCAAAATTTCAAGTTTCTTGAGGGTCAGGTGAAAATTCCACAATTTACATGAATTTTCAAGTAAAATTTTAATTTTTAATTAAATTTTCAGGGAATTCTTTTAAAATTCCGTGAACATCCAGAGGAATCTGGAATTCAAGGAGACATTTCTCTGAACTTTCCTGATTTTTCATTACTTTCTCGGAATTATTAAACTAAAATTTACAGTTTCCTCGGATTTTTCCATGAAAGTATGAATTTTCAACAACAAAATTTCGTAAAATTTCAGTGGAAAATATTATAGTGTCATCATGACACAATTCTCTACCGATTGACAATAACGATTTTTAAATTTCAGTGCAGTCTCTCCTCAAGGGTCAAAAACATTATTCTCAATATATAAAATAATATTATTTGCTAGGCAACAATCTTAATCATAAAAAAATTGTGACAAATTCACATAAACCTTCACCAAACTATCGAAAATCTAAAAACATGGAAAAAAATAAAAAAATAATTCTCCGCATTCTCAACCAAAAACAAATTTCGACATTTCAAGTTGAATGAAATTTGTGGAAAATTGGTACATGAAAGCTAAAAGTAGTTCTGCGGCGGGAAACTCAACGAGGCGAATGGTTACAGTTTGTGACAATGTTCCCCCGCATCACCGAATGGAAAGAGGGTAACATGGATAGTAGAGAACCTATGATCGATGCCGAAATTAAGGGGTTGCCCGTGCACTGGACGAAACAAAGTTAACCAATCACGGTGGTGGAATCGTACTCGACTATGCTACGGTTATATTGGCCGTCATTCCAGCGCGCTCGTCACCGATTTTTTTTTCCTGCCGAATGGTTTCTGTTTTTCCGAATCACGAGCACTCGGCTGTGTATATAGGAGCGCATTCGATGGAGTGTGAGGTAGTGAAACGAAATAGAGACAGAATTTTCGTAATTATGGAGCACTGGTAGTCCCGGGGGACGTTACGGGCCAGCGAGGACTGGAGATATCTGCACTGGTCGAGTACGGTAAAATGACATTTTATAATTATACATGCTAATTGTTTTGCAGAGTCAATCGTCCGAAAAAATCTATCGTCAAGGACCTGAAGGGGGGAAAAAGGGCGTTGGGGGAATATTCGTGACGTTGGGTCATTCAGGAGACGAAAAAATTTGAGGGAAGAAGAAGAAAAAATACGAGAAAAGATAGTGTTAGAGTAGGGGACTACGCCCCCTGCTCGCTCCGCTCGGCAATGCGGTGGGGGGCTCCGCCCCTCGCTCGTTTCGCTCACTCGCCCCTTTCCATATGACCCCCGTGACCTTATTCTGACCCTCATTGCCCCCGAAAAAATGTTTTTTTTTAAATCCAATGAAAATCCTTATTTTTATTCCAAATAAAAATTTTATTAAAAATTAGTTGTTTTGCCGAATCAATCGTCCGAAAAAAATCTATCGTCAAGAACCTGAAGGGGGGGGGGGAAAGGGCGTTGGGAGAATATTTGTGAGGCTGGGTCATTCAGGAGACGAAAAAATGTGCGGGAAGAAGAAAAAAATACGAAAAAAGATAGTGTTAGACTAGGGGGCTACGCCCCCTGCTCCCTGCATTCGGTCGTCCGGAGGGGGGCTTGGCCCCCTCGGCTCGCTTCGCTCGCGATTAATATATTCAAGAATTTAATTAGTTCAAAAAAATAATTTATTTGGTATAAATCGAGAATTTATTTGGATCAAATGGAGATTTATCAATAGTAAAAAACATTCATTTAATGTAAACAAAACTTCGAATATAATTTTTTATTTAATTTGAAAAAAAGCTTCATTTGGTGCCATTCAAAAAAACTTATTTACTCAATTTGAAGAAATTTTATTTGGACCAAATAAATCATCTTTCTGAGTGTAGTACCCTTAATGTTGAAGCCTAAATTTCGAGTACCAAATTTTCATCACCAGAAGTCGATTTGGATTTTTAAAATAGAGCGAAATTAAGAATATCCAAGTACATCAATTATTTTTTATCCAGTAAAATGCTTTTCTACTTTTGTAGTCGAACATCGCAGCTTTCATTTGACCCTAAGGTCCCAGACATTTTTAAATTGAATTCAATTAATCATCGAATTATTCAATGAATCAATTTAAAATACATCGTCATAAAAATTCTATTCGTAAGCAAATTGCCAATTTGTTAACAAAAATATATTGACTACGTTATTTTTACCACAAACTCCTCAGGACGATGATTAAACGCCCTTGCGATATCGAAATGTCAGTGGCGTCTCCCTTTGAGACACGAATTTTAAATTTTCTGGCGTCTTACCATCACCTGTCGTCTTAATTAAGACGTCATCAAAGAACTTTTTTAACATTGAACATTTGCTGGGACGAGACGGCTGAACGAATACCGAAAATTGTCCTTGAATCGAGAAAAAAATGGCCCGAAAGGGTGGGACAGTGCATTGTTTCCCCTCTGTTTTGATTTTTACCTCAGGTGCACACTCCAACTACTTTCGGTACAGTTGAGCGAGCATGTCACAATCGAGGAGAGCCACCTCAATCAAAGGGCCATTGATACCGAGTCACATTGGTCTCCACCAATTCTCCCCCACCGCTTACAGTTCCTTTGTGCGGTTTCCATGCGAGACCAAAAATCTATTAGCCTCCACCGAGACATTTGCGGACAAAATAGAGAAAATTGTGATCTGTATTGGCACAATGAAACGAAGTTGTCGTTCGGAAAAAAAAGTCGGAAGATGTCAGAATGACTGACGCCGGGTCGGAGCATGTGATATGATAAGCAGGAGGCGTAGAGTGGTGGTTCACTATTACCAGCAACATGAAATTACAAAAGGGGGACTTGTTGGACACGCGACCACTGTTGCAGTTGCATCACAGTTATGTATACGGGAGGGTGCGTGTTCATCATTTCGCTGATTAATTTTCTTTCCCTCGTTATTGCCATCAAGCGAGTATCGACTTACCATTAGAAAAACATTAAGGTAAATTTGAAGAAATATATTGATGTTTTTTGTAAACGAAATTGGCTGGACCAAACTGTAAAAATTTTGGTATTTGATGGCCGATTTGAGATTGCAAAATTACTAATTTGAATATTTATTGCATTTACTAGGGGGCTACGCCCCCCGCTCGCCATCCCCCATATCACCTGCATATGACCCTCATCTGACCCTTAATCTGATCGTCGTGACCCTCATTATACCTCTCGTGGCCCTTAATCTGACCCTTATGACCCTTAACTTGAACACTGTGACTCTTAATCTGACCCTCGCGACTGTTATTCTGACCCTCATGACCCTTAATCTGACCCTCGTGAGTCTTACTCAAACCTTTATGACCCTTATTTTGACGCTCATGGTCATTATTTTGACACTTGTGACCCTTATTTTGACACCTGTGATGCTTAATATGACCCTCGTGACCCTTATTCAAACCCTCATGACCCTTGTGACCCTTGTGACCCTTATTTGATCCTTATGGCCATTATTTTGAACCTTGTGACCCTTATTTCGACCCTTATGACCCTTAGTTTCAACAGTTTCCAGGCTTTAGTCTTGAAATATGAAATAAGTGACGGTTTCATTGACATTTCAGGGAATTTTACCATTGAAAATTCGTGGTTTTCGTGGAAAATTCATGGAAATTTTAAATTTCAGTTAAATTATCCCATGAAAATTCATGGAAATTAGGAAAATTCAAGCAAAAATGTCCTTGAATTTTCCTTTTTTTGAAATTTCAGTGCAATTTCTTATTGAATTATCATGTTTACATTGAAAATTCATGGAAATTTCGGAATCTTCATGGTTCTTCCACTGAAAAATCCGGAATTTCCTTGAATTTTCAGGGAAACTTGAAGTTTCACAGACTTTTTTCCGTTAAATTGAATTCCGTGTCATTTTCTGGAAAACTCTGTTAAATTTTTTTAACAGTGTACTCACCATCCCAAAAACATCAAGCCAACTTTGAAGGAATGAAATATTGTTTTCCACTGGCAAAATTGGATAGCTCAAGCACACTGATCGCATACATGTGTACAGTATTGGGTTGAGGATCACTGTGTACAAGATGTCCTCCTGAAGACTATCTCGGTCTTGACTCCCCAAGGGGATACCCTCCACCTCTTCGTTGCTACCATTTTCTCCTATCTCAGTATATTCTATATAGCCTATTCAGATATCAGGCTCACCCTATACTGGCGCTGTGTTAGCTTGTGTTTCCCAAGACGGGCCGAGGGATGAACACGAGTCCCGGATACTCTTCCGCCCTTTCAAGATTCCAGATCCACCCCCCCCCTGACCCCCTATTCTGTCCCATCCATTCCACCCCTTTTGTCGTAGACAACGTAATTCACATACTCGAGTATATCTTCGAATGGTGCGCCATACTGCTGTCCTGAATCTAGGTTAGGTTCCTATCAGATACTTTATTTTAATTTACTCACCGGTCGATGATTACGGGATCACTGGGCGTCTCGTTTCTATTTCCACAGCTCTTCTTATCGCAGCATCGACTGGAACAAAAGAAGGGCAAAGTCAAGCTAGCGGGGATGTATAAACAAATAAATTTTGAGAGCAGAGGGTGATTGCAAATCGTTTGGTAGGTAATGGTACCCCAACACCAAAGGCTCATCGATAAATTCGAGTATACGTAATCAATATATATTTTTTAAAATTTTAGTTACTTTCTATGTTTATTTTATTTTATAGTTTATTTCTTCACCAATTTTGATTTTTAAACATGCAGAAGGATGAATTTGTTTGAATGAGCATTAAATATGAGCGTCTATCTGTTGGTAATCCACACGGAGAGAAAAATTCAATAAAAATTACCAGAAGAAAACGTAAAAATTACGTTTCGAAACGTCATCCGCGAAGGAAGTCAAGTTCAATAAAAAATGTGAGTCGGGACAGAAACTGTACGAATCGCCACGTAAATTCTACGATTTGTTCCGTAAACATTAACCACCCGTCTGATGATTCACTGCTGTGGGGACAAGTCGTTCCGTCATTTTTCCCCAACGATTGAGAAATTTTACTGAACGGAACGTAGAAATAACTCACCAGGTTCATAAAAATTGTTGAACGTTCAAGAATTTTAGATTTTGGAGGCATAATAAGTCGGGAAGTTTCTGCAAGATTTTACTTCTTCGGGAAAAATTGCGTGACAATTTCGGATTTTGTTCGGTGATGAACCTGAAAATTCACTGAACGTTTCAGATTTCTTCTCTTCCATTCCTGTAAAAATTGCCGGAAAACGATTCCCCGTTGCGGATTATCTGAATTGTTCCGTAATTTTTACTGAATATTTCTCTCCGTGCACCGTCTATCTTCTTGTTAGTGGTCTGTCTATTGGGTGTTTGGGGTGTATCCCACTTTTTAGTCATTTTATCTTTATTCCTTCATTGCGTCCACTTGAAATCATTATTTTCCCATCATTCATATATTTTTCCAGGTATTGAATCCACCGTTGGCTTATTTATATGATTTATGAATTTTTTATCTCATTACGGACCTCAAATTGCCCTTAACTGTCTACCTATTGGTCTGGTTATTCTACTTACATGAAATTATTTTCAATTTTTAATTTTACGATGGAGTTGAAGAAGAATTATATCTATTGGAAATTATAAAAACGTGTGGATATAATAAGAAAGGACCACAGGAATAGTGCACTCAAGACCCCACTACTTATACGTTTTCACTGTTAACAGTGTTAAACTGTTAAAAATTGTCTGAAATTTCCGGTACACTTTTTGGAAATTTTTATCGAATTTAATTACCACTGAAATTTCACGGAATTTCTGCATTGGAAATGCAGAATTTCGTGGAAAAATCAAAGAGAACCTTAAGGATGTACTACACCTTTTCGCCCAAAATTCACGTTTTTTTCATTTTTCTGGCACATTATTGATTGGATTGAGGCGAAATAATATACTGTTTTTGCGTTTTATCATTATTGACTGACTCACGAAGTTTCATGGTAGTGCAATCATTTCCCTGCATTTTTTCTAAAGTTTTGTGAATTTCCGAAAAGTTTTAGAAAAAACGGAGGGAAATGATTGCACGATCATGAAATTTCGTGAGTCATTAAGTAATAATAAAACGCAAAAACTGTATTTTTTCACGTCAATCCGATCAACAATTTACCAGAAAAATTCGGAAAACGTGAATTTTGGCGAATAGGGTGTAATACAGCCGTAAATTTTAGCTCCACTTTCCCTGAAAATGAATAGAAAACCAGAGAATTCCGTTGAATATATTCTTGGATTTTCAGGACAGCGACACTGATTGCGATTTAGAGGGAAACAAATAATGAAATTCTAGATTTTACTGAAAATTTAATGTAATTTGACACAGAATTCATATTATATTCATATTAGATTCAAAAATTCAACTAAACTGAGGAATTCTCGTATTTATGCTGCTTAAAGTCCTGGAATTTTACTGAATTTTCAGTGAAACCTGAAATTGCACGACTTTTTCCCTAAATCGGATCCACTATCACTGTTTTGAAAATTGATAGTCAACTGTCCATGAAATTTAATTTTTTTTTCTGCTCTTTGAAGATATTCGAATTCTAAGATTATACCAATCATCACCAAATCATTTTGAAAACGGTGTTAAATAATAGATGTGTAATAAATAAATTTGGCCCGCCAACTATATTTACCTCAAAAGAAGAGATTGAAATTTAAGAGAAAATCCGGGGTGTTTGGCGTTAAGGGGGGGGG